TACAAAAATCATTCAGTGTGTGTTCTCTGACCATAATGGAATTATACTGGAAATAAAAAATAAAAAGGTAACTAGGAAATCCCTGTTTTCAAAACAAGCAACACACTTCTAAATGACTTCTAGATCTAAGAAGAAATAACAATGAAAAATTAAAAATATTTTGAACAAGACGGTAATATAGATACGATATATAAAACTGTGTGATGTAATAAAACCTGCCTAGAGAGAAGTTTATAATCTCAAGTGTTTATAATAGAAAAAACTAAAAGATGAAAATTAAGAACCTAAGCATGTCTAAAGAAGCTGAAAAAACTGTAAATTAAACTCAAAGAAAATAAGTGGAAGAAAATAAATAATAAAGAAATATAAATATACAACATAGATAAATGACCAAGGAAAAGTTTGGTGTTCTAAAACCGATGAAAGTATTGAAAAACCAGAATGGAATGCTCTGGGGAGGAGGAGCAGGCTCCAGCTGGCACAGCGTTACGGCTTGCCTTTATGTATACATCTCAAAAATTATTCTTTAAATAGATAAAATAGGCATGAGGTTTAAAAGGAAACCTCTTAAGATACAAAAGGATTTGTCTAACTTTTAACTAAAAAGATACTATATTGGCACCAAATAAAAATTTCATTTAAAAAAAGCAATATTGGCTCGGCGCCTGTGGCTCAGGCTGCTAAGGCGCCAGTTACATACACCTAAGGTGGCGGGTTCAAATCCAACCCAGGCCTGCCAAGCAACAATGACAGCTGCAACCAAAAAATAGCCGGGTGTTGTGGCGGGCGCCTGTAGTCCCAGCTTACTTGGAGGGTGGAGGCAAGAGACTCGCTTGAGCCCAGGAGTTGGAGGTTGGTGTGAGCTGTGATGCCACAGCACTCTACCCAGGGGGACAGCTTGAGGCTCTATCTCAAAAAAAAAAAAAAGCACTATTAAGGGCAGTGCCTGTGGCTCAGTGGGTAGGGCACTGGCCCCACATACTGAGGGTGGTGGGTTCAAACCCAGCCCTGGCCAAACTGCAACAAAAAAATAGCTGGGCATTGAGGTAGGCACCTATAGTTCCAGCTACTCAGGAGGCTGAGGCAAAAGAATCGCCTAAGCCCAGGAGTTGGAGGTTGCTATAAGCTGTGTGATGCCACGGCACTCCACCCAGGGTGATACAGTGAGACTCTGTTTCTACAAAAAAAAAAAAAAAGGCAATATTGAGGATATGGAGATATTAGAACTCTCTTACATGGCTGGTGGGAAAGTAAAATGGTACAGCCACTATGGAAAAGTCTGGCAGTTCCCCAAAAGTTGTACCTAAGTTACACCAGTGTCACCGCATGAGACCAATTGCATGAATATCCAGAATAGGCACACAGGAGCCACCACCAGCTCAGACTCCTGCTAGGGTCACCCAGCCATCCTCATCACCCTGAGACATCATGCTCACATACAGGCCTAGGGCAGTTGAGTTAAAACCAAACTATCCAAGAGATAAAAACTAGCTGTGGGAAAAAGCACCACCTCCCACTTATGTGTGTTTCACACAAAGTTACAATAACAAATCTGGACACACAAGGCTGGAAAAATACACTGGCTACAAGTTACCTGGCCATGAGGGGTGCTTGTTACAGACCTGAAGCTTCTGCCTATCATGTCCAGGTCCTGCCTGGGAGCAGGAGCAGGAGGTCCAGGCAGCAAGTCCTTCTTTGCCCCTGCCATGGCAGAGAACCAGGAACAGACTCAGACCCAGGGGTCTCCCAGGCCTGGCCAGGCCCTGACTTACCAGGCTCAGTGGACTCGAGTCATCCTCTGTGAATCAGGGCTGGTAGTAGCTGGGCTCAAGAGGAAGGAGAGGGGCTGCACATGCACGACCCCAGAATAGTGCCTGGCACTCCCTGGTAACCATGTACACCTTAAGGGGCCTGGCAAGAATGGCAGGTAGACAGGAGGAGGAAGAATGAGCTTGAATGTTCTTTCTGAACGAGGACTTCCCCTGTTTAGCCCTGTGCTCAGGACATGCTCCTACCCATGAGCTAGATAAGGTGACAGGAGGATTCTGGAGTACCTCTCCGAAGGTGGGGGTTCTCACCACAGAGGACCCGCTCATGTCCTGCTGACACCAAGTGGAAGGTACTGTGGCCCCCCAGCTAATAGGAGTTAAGTCTTGGAAGAGGACCAGAAGTCCCACAGGCAGTGGGGGCTGAGAGATGGGGTACACCTGCAGCCCACACAGGCTGAACCCTGGAGCCAGATAGCCCTGGGCAAGGAAAAGAGAGCCAGGTGGCCCTCACATGCCCTCTCGGCACAGACCTTCTGTGGAAGGGAAGAGGGCCTCCTCAAGGAAGGAGGCATGAACCCGGCCAGCCAGCCAGTGGTCAGAAGAGGAGGCCAGGATGGCAAAGGCACAGATCGAAGCCAGGGCTAGCAGGGAAGGGGAAGGAGCAGGGACTGAAGACAAAGGGGAGGGTGGCGAGAGACAGAGGCATATATGGGATGAGTCTGAGGGCTCTGGCTGGAAGGCACAGGGCATGAAACTGCCACCAACCTGAATAGGACACTTGCCACTGCCCAACCTGCCTTCCCCTAAAGTGCTGCCCAACCAGGGGAAACCTGGGAAATGACACATGGTCACCTGGAGGCAGAGAAGTGTGTGAGGCCAGGTGTGGTGGCTCACACCTACAGTCTCAGCTACTCAGGAGGCTAAAGCAGGAGAATCACTTGAGCCTAGGAGTTCAAGGCTACAATGACCTGTGGTCACACCACTGCCCTCCAGCATGAGTGACACAGCAAGACTCATCTCAGAAAGGAAAGAAACTGCAAACCCTTTGGCAATCACTCTCTATCTCCCCTCACAGCCTCTGGCAACCATCTGTCTACTTTCTATCTGTGGATTTGCCCGTGCTGGACATTCCATAATAAAAGCATCTTAAACTATGTGGTCCGCCACATATGCCTTTTTGGCACAATACTTCTGAGCCCCATCTGCTTTCACTGCTAAATGACACCCCTGTACAGACACACCATAGTTTGCTAATCCATTCATAGGTTGGGGGGCACTTGGGTTTTTCCCATCTTTTAGCCACAGATGCTGTTGCTATGAGCACTGATATCCAAAGTCTCAGTGTGAACAAAGGCTTCATTTTCCTTAGGTAGACACATAGGAGTGGGACTGCTGGGTTGTGCACTAACTCTGTGGCTAAGTGTAGGGAAAGAGCTTTCCTTAGTGGCCGTGCCACCTTTCCTTCCACTGGTAGTGGCAGGCCACAGTGCTCAGTCCAGCAGGTCCCATCTGTCCTGGAACAGCTGAAGAGTACTCCTTCCCCTGCAGCAGGGCCTGGCGGGGTGAAGGCATAGACACAGCACGACTTGCTGCCTCCCACACTTGCCCAGATTTCTCTTCCTGCACACCAAGTCCTGCTCTGGAGCAGCCCCTAAAGGGGTCCTATGAACTCTCAGGAGACAGAGCCAGACAGAGATCCCAGGACTCCATTCAACTTTTCGTCCAGGGCCTTTATCTGGCTGGTGGCAGCACTGAGAAAGACTGGAGCAGGCCTCTCAGAACAACATCCAGGGAGGAGCTGGGAAGACCCCGGGAAGCAGGCAGGGGCTACGGAGGTGCCTCACAGCATTCCGTAAGGCATATGTGTGCTTTACACATTTTTGTGCTGAAATGGTACATTTTAAACATTTAAAAGGACATTTTAATAAAAGATTCTGGTACTGAGAGTTGCCCAGCAGAAGCACAATCAGCACATCACCTGGCACACAGCCTCCAGGTGCCCTCCTGGAGGCCCACTCCAAAAAGGAGCCACACACCAGGGCACCAACTCTGAGAACAGCCTCCAGGGAAACCAGGTGAAAGACAACCATAGAGAAAAGGGCTCAGCAAAGCACCACAATGCCTACATGGTGAGAAGATGCACGTTCAAGGACGGGGTGTCATGAAAAGAAATGTTCAGAGATCATGAAGAGCCCTCAGTAAAAACAAGAGTGCAGGGAAGACAAGACTTCACAAGAATGGAAGTTTAGGTACTCTCCCAGGCAGAAAGAACAGGAAGCAGAGAGGGTGACTAGACAGACAAACAGTCAGCCGGAAGACAAAAGGACAAGAAATGGAAAAAGGGACTCCAGAGAAGTGCAAAGCAGGAAGGAATGTGGAAGGAAGTCAACACACTGTGAGACAGACTTATAGAGGAGAGCCAGGAGTCAGGGCAGCAAGGGTGTTCCGGACAAGAATGCCACAGGCAAGAAGATGAGGGGGCCACGCCCACACACCGGCCACACCGGGTGAGGGATGGGGACTCCTTTCTCAGAAGGAGCCCTCACAGCTGAAGAGGGTGTATCAGAAGCAGGTCCCTGCAGGAGAGGTGGAGAGCCCCAGAGCAATGGGGAGAAGCGGCTGCAAATATGCGCCTTGCAGCCTGCAGCAGGACGTGGAGGACAGAAAGGCCTGGAAGGCCCTCCCAGGAGGAAACTGACAGAGTTACTGACACACAGATGCATCTGTGAGAGGGGGACAGCACAGCCATGTACAGAGACCTAAGCACGAGAGGCAGCTGGACCATGGTCCCCTCCAGACAGGGCAAAGCTGCAGACCACTGGGATTGGCCACTTCCTCCTCCCCCACAGGGCAGGGGCTGGAGCTCAGCTTGGCCATGACCCCTGGCAGTCACTCCACCTCTTTAAGGCTCAGGAAGGAGGGAAAGACAGTGCCCAAGTGCCACGTGGTCTGACAACAGGAAGAAAATCCAGGACATGATTTCCAGGGAGTGGCAGAATGCTCGTTCTGTCTGGAGGGGAGCAGGTGCCCAGCTTCCCAATTCTTCAGTGTAGTAAAGAGCAACTCCAATTTAGAAAGCCCTGGATCAACTGAGACTGTTAATCCAAGAGGTGGTTTTCAATTAAATGGAGACACTAAGTTACTGCAACAACCAAGTCACAGCTTTCGCGGGGAGCCAGCTAAGCACCAAGGTTGAGGGTCCTCTGAAAGGCTCCCCAAAGCAAAAGATACGTGGTGTGCCTTCCGTGCGGCAGACCAGGTAGAGACAGGCAGCAGTCACATGAGCCATCCTGCGGCCCCGGGTCAGATGTTTGCTCACGGCCATCTTGAAGAAGTTGAAGGCTGTGTCCAGGCAGTGCTGGTTCAGCTGCAGCTGGTTCCCCAGATGATGGATGTGACGCCTCCCTAGGACACAACACAAGACAACACTCACATGTCACCACTAATTCATGACATCCAATTAACTGACAATTCTTTAAAAATAAAAAGTGTTACATGACTGACTACCTTAGTGATTTAAGATTAGGCACATGGATTTTCCTGGCTGGGCAAAGTGGCTCACATCTGTAATCCCAACACTCTGGGCTGTCTCCCAAAAAAAGAAAGAAAAAAGAATATGGATTTTCCCTTTTCCTTATGAGTTTTTTTTTTTTTTTTTTGAGACAGAGCCTCTAGCTGTCCCCCTGGGTAGAGTGCCGTGGCATCACAGCTTACAGCAACCTCCAACTCCTGGGCTCAAGCGAATCTCCTGCCTCAGCCTCTCAAGTAGCTGAGACCACAGTCGCCGGCCACAACACCTGGCTATTTATTGGTTGCAGCCATCATTGTTGTTTGGTGGACCCAGGCTGGATTCGAACCTGCCACCTTAGGTATATGTTGCTGGCACCTTAGCCACTTGAGCCACAGGCGCCAAGCCTTCCTTATGAATTTTTAAATTCACTTTTCATGTGTATTCCAATCAACACTTTTTTTTTTTTTTGAGATAGAGTATCACTTTGTCACCCCTGGTAAGTGTCATTGCTTCCTAGCTCACAGCAATCTCTAACTCTTGGGCTCAAGTTAGAGCCTCAGCCTCCTGAGTAGCTGGGACTACAGGTGCCCACCACAATGTCTGGCTATTTTTAGAGATGGGGTCTTGCTCTAGCTCAGTCTGGTCTCAAACTTGTGAACTCAGGCGATCTGCCCACCTCAGCCTCCCTAAGGGCTGGGATTGCAGGCGTGAGCCACTGCACCTGGCCCCAATCAACTTTTATTTATGGATGCTGAAAAGTGAATTTCCCACCATTTTCACCTGCCATGAAACCTTATTCCACATGTCTCAAAACTGTTAGCTCTGAGCAGGTATGTGCAGTGTGGCTGAATGTGTCCCTCCAGCGCTCCGAGGTCTGGGGTGTCTGGAAAGGGCTCGGTTTTGCCTGGTCAACTTGGTGCTCCTCCCTGACCACTGTGACCTGTGGTGGAAGGGCCCCTCATCCCCCAGCCATGCGCACTGGCCACTGTCTCCTTCTCCATTGGCATAGGGGTGCCACCCTACTCTTCCCAGCATGGCCCTCTCTGCTTGGTCCAGCCCTGCCCCCCACCAGCCTCTTTTCCAAGAGCCATTTCCTAGACAGAGAAAGGACCATAGAAAGATACAACCTGACCTGCCATCTTCTCCATACCCACTCATCCATAGGGAAGGGCCATGCAACACACAGAAGGCCACATGCAACACACAGAAGACTTGAGGGCCCCAGACCCCCTAGGCATTTTGAGACATGCACTGAGGGTCAGGAATCACAGCAGTTCAGCGCTGCTTGACAAGAATGCTGGAGGCAACAAGATAATGGGACCACGTGGAGCATAGACCACTGGGCCAGGGTAAGGGATGGAAATCACTCAATGTGCCCAGGGCTACAGCGCCTGAGTCTGGGCACCTTCCTAGAGCAAGACCTTCCCAAAAGCTATGGGCTTAACGATGGCTTCAAGAAAGGCAACAGAAGCTCAGCACCCGTAGCTCAGGGGTTAGGGCATCAGCCACATACACTGAGATAGGAGGGTTTGAACCTAGCCCGGACCTGTTAAACAATGACAACTGCAAAAAAAGAAAAAATAGCTGGACATTTTGGTAGGTGACTGTAGTCCCAGCTACTTGGGAGGCTAAGGCAAGAGAATCACTTAAGCCCAAGTGTTTGGAGGTTACTGTGAGCTGTGACACCACTGCACTCTACCGAAAGTGACATAGTGAGACTGTCTCAAAAAAAATAAGAACCTAGCCCTTGGCTGGGCACCTGTAGCTCAGTGATTAGGGTGCTGGCCACATGCTCCAGGGATGGGGGTTCAAACCCAGCCCAGGCCTGCTAAACAAACAAACAAAAAAACACCTAGCCCTCAGGGGGATGGTATTTAGAGGTAGGGCCTTTGGGAGGTGATCAGGCTGCAAGGAAGAGCCCTCATGACAGGATTAGCATACTTTAAACAGGGAACCTGGAGAGACAGCTCAGCCCTTCTGTCACGTGAAGACAAAGGCACAGGCCACCACATCTGAACTGGAGAGCTGGGGAGCAGACAGCTGTCTATGCCCTTGACTTCCAGCCTCCACACTGCAAGAAACACATTGTTTTTGTTTAGGCTTCCCAGTCTGCAGTGTATCTAGCAGCCTGCAAGCACTAAGACAGGGAACTTGGAGTCACTATAGTAAGTTATTTTTATTGTCTTTATCCAATCTAATGTACATATTTACCCACTTAAAGTGTGTAATTCAACAGTTTTAGTATATTCACAGAGTAGTGCAACTATCACCACAACTTAGTACACTTTTCATTAGCCCAAAAGAAACTTTGTGGATACTTCCCACCCACTCCTGAAGAAGTTTTGAACTCATGTGAGTTCAGCAAGCACTACTAGCAGACTGAATAAATCATAAAATTTAGACATGTGTGCTTTGTAAGTGTACAAAGGTATTATTAGTAAATACAGATTTGTGGGAAAACCAACTGTAAATTAACTAATTGTAGCCTACAAATCTTCTCAAGTTTCCTCCTAATAAATGAATTCTACAAGTAAATTCACCAGCACACAGGTGCCTTCAAAATATCAACATCTTCTAAAAATAAGGCCGACCTTTCTGTTTGAGCCAGCAGCTGAGCGGCAGCCCCCATGACTAGAGCCCACAGGGTGACTTAGAGACAGAGTGCTGTCACAGGCAGGGCAGCCCTGGAAAAGGGCCTGGTGGGGCCAGACTCAGCATGCTCTAGAAGCTACTGACTCCAAGTCCAGATGAGACCCCAATGGTCAGGCCAGCGAAGCCTCTGGGGATGCCAGCTGGCTGTGGGTCACATTATTCCCTACTTGGCCACACACCCAAAAGCCAACAGGTGCCCCAGGGGTCTGTGGAAGTAATAGACAATTTCAGATCTGCACTCACAAAATGTGAGCTGACAACCAAGACCCAACCAATGTGTGAGGAGAAAGTCAACATGATGAGGGAGAAACATCAAAATCCATAGGCAGAGGTACTAATAGAAAAAAGCCACTAGATGCTCAAGATATGAGAAGACACCAATCCACAAAGATGTACGAACAGGCTGTAAATAAAAAGACACAGTCTGGCTGGGCATGGTGGCTATGGGAGGCTGAGGCAGGAGGATTCCTTGAGCTCAGGAGTTCAAGACCAGCCTGAGCAAGAGCAAGACCCCGTCTCTAAAAACTAGCCAGGTGTTGTGGCAGGCTCCTGTAGTCTCCACTAGTTGAGAGGCTGAGGCAGGAAGATCCTTGAGGCCAGGAATTTGAGGTTACTGTGAGCTGCAATGCCATGGCACTCTACCAAGGGTGAAAAAGAGAGATTTGGTCTCAAAAAAATAAAATGAAAGCAGATGATAGACTCATAGCAGGTAAGAGAGTCTGCCTGTGGTATCATGCTAGGGTCTGCAAATACACTCAGAATACCTGGTCACTTGGTTTACAACAAAGGAGTCAATGTAATATACTGGAACAAAGATGGTCTTTCTGATAAATGGAGTTGGAAAAATTGGATAGCCATTTTGAAAATGTAAACCCCAACCCCTACTTTCCACCGTACACAAAAAAATGACTAAAGGCCGGGTGTGGTGGCTCATGCCTATAATTTTAGCACTTTGGGAGGCCAAGGTGGAAGGATATGAGGCCTAGAATTTGAGACCAGCCTCAGCAGCACCAAGACTCCATCTCTATAAAAAGTTAAAATAGGCTCAGCACTTGTGCTCAGTAGTTAGGGCACCAGCCACATACACCAAGGCAGGCAGGTTCAAAACCAGCCTGGGCCTACCAAACAACAATGACAACTGCAACAAAAACACAGTCTGTCGTTGCGGTGGGCGCCTGTAGTTCCAGCTACTTGGGAGACTGAAGCAAGAGAATCGCTTAAGCCCAAGAGTTTCAGGTTGCTCTTAGTTATGACAGCACAGCACCCTACTGAGGGCGACATAGTGAGAATATGTCTAACAAAAAAAAAAGTTAAAATATTGGCCAGATATGGTAACATTGAACCTGTAGTCCCAGTTACTCAGGAGGCTGAGGCAGGCGGATCATTGAGCCCAGGAGTTCAAGACTACAAAGAGCTATTGTCACACTACTGCACTCCAGTCTGGGTGACAGAGCAAGATCTTGTCTCTAAACAAATAAAAAACTGATTTAAGGCATATCATAAAGCTAAATGTGGAATATAAAACAATAAAACTTCCAGATAAAAACACAAAACACAAGAGAAAATCTTTAGACCTTAGGGAAGATACGTATTTCTTTTTTTTTTCTTGAAGTTTTTTGTTTTGTTTTTTTTTTTCCCGGGGCCAGGTTTGAACCCACCACCTCTGGCATATGGGGCCGGCATCCTACTCCTTGAGCCACAGGCGTTGTCCAATAAGAATTTCTTAAACAAGCCACCAAAAGACCTATCCATAAAAAACTGATATATTAGGACTTCATAATATTTTAGAAATTGTATTTTAAAATTTGTATTCATCAAAAGACATTGGGAAAGTGAAAAGATAAGCTATATGCTTCGGAGAAGGCTTCAAAATATGGATATTAACAAAGGACTCAAATCCATAATATTTGTGTAAAGAACTTCTACAAATCACTATGAAAAGGTAACTTTTTTTTTTTAATCAAATGTACAATGGGCAGCACCTGTGGCTCAAAGGAGTAGGGCGCCGGCCCCATATACCAGAGGTGGTGGGTTCAAACCCAGACCAGGCCAAAACTGCGAAAAAAAAAATAATAATAAACATACAAAAGACAGTAGGCATTTCACATACACAAGCTGCCCAGATGGACAACAGCATCGACAAAGGCAGCAAACTAGACTGCTTAACAGTAAAGGAAGTTACAACCACAATGAGTGCCCACACGCCACGGAAAGACCACTGTCGGAAAAACTCAGGAATGCCAAGATTATATAAGGCTACAGGAAGACATGGAGGAAACCTAAGTGCACAGTACTGAATCTGAAGAGGCTGTACACCACAATCGCCACTCTGTGACATTCTGAAAAAGGCAAAACTATGAAAAGATCAGTGGCTATCAGGGGTCAAGGAGGAGGAGAAATAAACAGGCAATGGGGTACAGCCCTGCTACAGATGCCCAGGGGCTGCCAGTCAGCAGGAGCTCAAGTGGAAAGGTCTGCAAGGCCCAGGCCACCCACCCGCAGTAAGACCCACCCAGGGATGCAGGCTTCTACCACTTCCTAACACTTCCCCACATGGCAAGCAGGGACCAAGAGGTCACCCCACACCATCACTGACACCCACCCCAAGGGAGCCTATGTATTCTATTTAACTTCTGCCTTAAACCAATAATATTTAAAGGCTTTTTTTTTTTTGAGACAGAGTCTCACTTTCTCCCCCTCGGGAGAGTGACATGGCAGCGTCATACTGCTCACAGCAACCTCCAGCTCTTGGACTTAGGTGATTCTCTTGACTCTCCCTCCTGAGCAGCTGGAACTACAGGTGCCCACCACAAAGCCCAGCTATTTTTTTGTTGCAGTTTGTCAGGGGCCAGGTTTGAAGCCACCACCCTCAGTATACGGGGCCGGTGCCCTACTCACTGAGAGCCACAGGCACCACCCTAAGGGCTTTTTTTTTTTTTTTAAAGTTAGATGAAATATTTCTCTCTTTATGTTGCTGATTTCCAACTTTATTGCAATGAACATGTCTGCACTAACACCACTCTTTACAATTTGGGTCTGAGATACAACCAAGTCCAGTAAATGTACCACAGGGTTTGGTAAAATACATATAGTATTCTCTGTTGGGAACAAAGTTCTCCATAACGAGATCTTCAAGTCGGCAGAAGAGATAACCTGGTGGCAACAGAAGCAGGGGTGGAAGTGGACCACAAGAGGGCTTGAGAGCCAGAGGCCACTTCCCAGTGTGGAGCAGGGCAACCAGCCAGCCCAACAGTGAGGTCTGTGTGTGCCAAAAACTGACCATATGGTGGGTGGAACAGACGAATCCATAGTCACCGTGGGAGATTCTGATATGTCCTCTCAGAAACAGACAGCACAAGCAGAACCAAAACTGACAGGGTAAGAGGAAGTCTGACTAAATAGCGTGCACAGGGCATTGCAGCCCACTGACTGCCAGGAGAGCATTCTTTTCAAATGCCCACTACACATGTACTGGGCTGTGAAGCAAGCCCAAGCCTAAGTATTCTAAAAGACTGGAATCACACAGAGAATGATGTCTGTCTACAAAAGAGTCAATACAGAAGTCAGTAAATCCACAGGGGTCAAAGGAAAAAGCACAAAGGACATCGAAAGACTCATTTTGCTGTGAGTGGTCATCACAAGCCCAGCAACCTGAGCAGGCAGCTGACATGCATCAGCCCTGCAGCCTAGGCCGGGTTCTGGCCATGCCCATGCTGGTGACCCACTGTCTGCAGCAGCCCAGTGAGGAGGCAGGTTCAGAGATCTGTGACTACCCAGAAAAGGCTGAGTAGAAGCAACCAGGGTGCCACGCTGTCCAGAGACACCCTACTGCTGCCAGACCACCTCCTGTACACAGACAAGGACTGTAGGACAAGACAGGGCCTGGTCAGGAAGTTCTCTTCTGATACATTCCTGAGTATATCAAAGGAAACTTAAAGTCTCAAAGGTCCCAGCACAGAGCCTCCCTGCCTGGACTGACCCACAGCTAATGCCATACTCAATGGTGAAAGGCTGGATGCTCCCCTAAGGGCAGGGACAAGACAAGGATGTTTGTTATCATCACCGCTATTCAGTTTGGTACCAAAGGTCCATCCAGGGCTGCCAGGCAAGGAAAAAAATTCCAACTAGCCTTAGCACTATAGCTCAGTGGTTAGGGTGCTGGCCACATACACTGGGGCTAGAGGGTTGGAACCAGCCCAGGCCTGCTAAACAATAATGACAACTACAACAACAACAACAACAAAAATAGCCAGATGTTGTGGCAGGTGCCTGTAGTCCCAGTTACTCGGGAAGCTAAGGCAAGAGGATCACTTAAGCCCAAGAGTTTGAGGTTCCTGTGAGCTATGACACCATGACACTCCACCAAGGGTGACATAGTGAGACTCTGTCTCAAAAAAAAATTCCAACTACATTGGAAAGAAAAGGAAAGCTATATCTATTTATACAAGACAAGATTTTGAAAATAGAAAATGCTTAAGAATCCACTAAAAAAGCTATTAAGACTAAAAATTGTGGGGCCTGTGGCTCAAAGGGGTAAGGCGCCGGCCCCATATGCCAGAGGTAATGGGTTCAAACCCAGCCCCGGCCAAAAACTGCAAAAAAAAAGACTAAAAAATGTATTCAGCAAGATTGTAGTATGTGAGATCAACATACAAATATCAGGCTGGGCACAGTGGCTCATGCCTGTAATCCTAACACTCTGGGAGGCCGAGGTGAGTAGATTGCCCTGAGCTCAGGAGTTTGAGACCAGCCTGAGCCAGAGCGTGGTATTAGAGACCTTGTCTCTAAGAAAAAAAAAGAAAGAAAGAAAAAAGGCAGGTACTCTGGCAGGCACCTGTAGTCCCAGCTACTTGGGAGGCTGAGGCAAGAGGATAGCTCAAGCCCAACACTTTGAGGTTGCTGTGAGCTGTGACACCACAGCACTCTCCTGAGGGCCACAAAGTAAGACTCTGTCTTTAAAAAAAAAAAAACAAAAAAACATACAAATATCAACTGGGAATAAATTCAACAAAAGA